TATATATATATATATATATATATATGTTATTATTTATACAATTTATTTTACAAAATTATAATTATTGACACCATCCAAAAAGGAGTGTTTGAAATATATGGGAAGTCTCATTTAACTTTGTTGAACTACTTTCTCTCATTTCGTTTTAAATCACGACTCCAAAAACTATTACTTTTCTTTTCAATTTACTTTTTAAAAGTCAATTAATATTACAAGAGTCAAACCCACTTCATATCCCCAAACTATGGACACTAATCGTCTACGTTAACCATCAATTTCAATTATATATATATATATATATATATATAAATAAAAATGACATAAAAGTGTTAAAAATCTTAAATGTCCCTCCCTGTATGCTTTTTTAAACGAATATATCAAATCCGACCATTTTTCATACCAACCGAAAAACCACAGGACCGGAAATGTATCTTAATAGATATTGTATAAAATATTTATATCATATAAAACTCGTAGTTGCAAGACACGAATACCGATTATTTTATACAAATAATCGTTTAGTATTGTTTTTATTACACTTTTGGTTCTATAGATAGTAGTCAACGATAAGACCGTTCACAGTCGTAGCATCTCAATCAACCGCCTACAACTCCACGGGTGCATGAGCTGTAACGAGTCTTAAACTCAAGTCAAGCTGGAACATCATCACCTTATTGATTAAGACATTTTTTTATTTTGTAACATTTTGAACAAAATCCAAGTTTAAATTATACTGTATATATATAAACCCATTACATGATAACGAAAAGCCAAAGGCCAATTTCTACAATAATATTTTAAAGAATCAGAAAAAAAAATCTCTTTAACACTTTTACGAAGCGATCTTCTCAATCTTAGGGACATGAACCGGGAAATCGTCGATCTCGTCTGTCCAAGGATTTTTCTCCTTAGCCGGATCAATCGTCTTCAAAGCCTTCCACACCGCGCTGTTACACTTGAAACCCGAACCGAACGCAATTTGCCATGACCGATCGCCTTTCCTTATTCTACCCTTGGCCTCGGAATAAGCCAATTCGTACCACAACGAGCTGCTTGAAGTGTTTCCGAACCGATTGAGGGTCATTCTAGAAGGCTCCATGTGCCAGTCCGATAAATCAAGATTCTTTTCTAACTCGTCCAGAACTGCTCTTCCTCCCGCGTGAATGCAAAAGTGCTCAAAGGCGAGCTTGAAATCCGGGATGTAGGGTTTGATTTTCATTTGGAACACTTTCCTCGCGACTAATGTGGCGAAAAACAAGAGTTGTTCGGACATGGGAAGCACCAACGGTCCAAGGGTTGTGATATTGGTTTTCAGGGCCTCGCCAGCCACCGCCATCAGGTCTTTCGAAAGCGCCACGCCAATTTTCTTCTGCTCGTCCTCTTCTTGGAAGACACAGTTGTAACATCTATCGTCGGCACCTTTATGTGTACGAACGGTGTGAATCAGTTGATACTTGGAACGACGACGATCAGAAGACCGATTTGACAACAGAACTGCTGCTCCTCCCATTCGAAAGAGACAGTTGGACACAAGCATTGAACGGTTGTTTCCAACATACCAATTTAACGTTATGTTTTCCATGCTAACGACCAACGCATACGAATTAGGGTTCACCTGTTTACAACAAATCACTTCACCTTTCAGAATGTAAATAAATACACAGTAATTGTGCATATAACTTTGATCTTGAAACAATCCAATCAGAATTGTTTCCCCCAAAAATCTCAATCAAAAATACATGTTTGATGATGATTTTGGCAAGAGAAAGAAAGAAATTACCTGCAAAAGCTGCTTTGCCATATCAATGGCTATCAATCCAGCACTGCAACCCATTCCACCGAGGTTATAGCTCATAATGTTCCCTCTGAGCTTGTAATGATTCACCACCATGGAAGTCAGTGACGGTGTTGGGCAAAACAAGCTGCAATTAACGATGAGTATCCCGATTTCCTTGGCTTTCACTCCGGTCTTCGCCAACAGTTGGTCGATGGCTCCATACATCACCATCTCCGCCTCTTTTCTGGCCTCCGCCATGCACGGATTTGGTGGAACCCTAAGCACCGCCTCCGGGAAATACGTCTTCTGTCCTAATCCAGATCGTTCCAGAATCTTCTTCTGAAACGCTAAATTCTCCTCGGTAAACGTCCCCGCCTGAGTCGAGCGATCCATGAAAATCTCCCGAGTCACCATCCGTGCATCTTCAGGTTTGTAACAGGCGAAATCAACCAGGTATACCTTCTTCGGTCTGCTCATGAAGTAGAGTGTGGTTAAGAAGACCATTAACGCCGAACAGAGGACGACCGTGACCAAATTGAATCGGAGTTGGTGCCATAAATGGATCAGATCGTGGGATGTAAGTGTTGATAGCTGAACGAAGACAAGGGCAAGGATGGGAGTTAACAAGAGGTACATGGCGTGTGAAATCAAGCAATGGTAACCTAATTTCACGTATTTGAGTTTTACAGATAGCAGGAAATTGGGGAGAGGTACAGTGGTGGTGTTCTTCGCCGCCGTTGGCTGCTGGGAATCCGCCATCGGAAACCACCGAATTGAATGGAAGAATAAGGGTCTAAAATTTGATGAGAAAAATGAAATTGGAGGAAATTGTGAGATGGAAGAAGGGTGGGAAATGGGAATTTAAAGGGGGTGGGGGTGCAACCACCCCAACGAACTTTTTAATGCTAAATGCCACCCTTCTCTTAAAATTTTATTTTTTTTTATTTTTTATTTTTTATTTTATTGTTTCTATCTTATCCAATCAATATTATACATTGTTTTCTCTATCATTTCCTTTCATATATATATATATATATATATATATATATATATATATATAGGGGAGCGTTCAAATAAAAACCACCTAATTTGTACAAACCGTACAAACTTCATTCAACAAATCATAATTTTTCATTTTGTTCATTTTTTTGTAATTATTAGAGATTGATTAATCATTTTTATTGTGGGTGATGTTAATCATGGATATTATCATCTTCATTAT